TCGGACACGGGGCGTCCAAATAGGCTGCCTTGACAACAGGAGCCAGTCGCGCAAATAAGGTCAAGCGACTTGTGCGCATCCAAACGAGGCTGCGACCCTAAAAAGGTGCCCGTTTAAGAGTTGGAGTTAAGTCGTCCGTCGTTTTGGTAGTGACACACCTTTCACTTTCGATCGTAAATGCCGAAAGAGTGTTGCCTCGTACTTTTGTCTGTCGAATTGGGCCAACAAGACCTCGTCTCACCTTCCTGCCAGCCCGACGACCGCGAGCTGACGTTTCGCCCATCATCCGACGGACACCATCAAAGCAACAATCGGCAGAAACACGAAACCAGGGAAGGTGGCCATACTCCATTTTGTACTCGGAATGACATATTCCATGATTTGCTTGTCCGAATCCCGCTTGTCCTACATGCATGCTGGCGAGAGAAGTTGCATTCTCCCACAATCATTTTAGTAGACATGGCAACTCCACTGCATTCCACAGAGCCTCGCCTTCCCAAAAGGTATTCTCATCCTGGATGGACTGCAGCTCCGAACTCGCCCTAGTCATATCAACTCCCGTTACTTTTATTCTGTCTCATGTGTCTACTACTCATGAGTAAACCCTAGTCAGTCCGGCTACGAATACTGTTTCGACGTAGGTTTCTTGTTTTCTCTTCGTTGAGGCAAAAACACGAAGAGGTGAGACGAAAGCAGATGTCATTTGGAGTGCGATGAGACATGAGCGAAAAAGAATGTTGCCTTGCCAACGCTTACTGGCTACGGCTTGAGGCCTCGTCCCCCATACGGCCATATCTCATATCTTCTTCCCTCTCCTTGTGACGGGCTGTTTGTGTGTGTGTTGGAGTAATACTTCCCCCTGGTCGGCAACAATACACTTGAGGCCGGCACTGCAAGTAGACGACTTGAGGTTCCGTGATTCCTGTAGTCTGTCTGTTCTGTTGGTCTATCAAAGCACGATGTCTGTGTGTATATATTTATGTGTGTGTGTGGATGTGCGGTTTATCGTGTTTAGACTGGAACCGTGGTATGCAGATTGTGATCGGGTCGCCAGCACGAGTCACCACAGTTCGAGTTCTCTCGAATCTTTAGCGTTGCCATGGCGTCACAAATTTGCCTGAAGAAAGCGCGTTTCCTGTTGCTCGGACATGAGAGAGGCGGCCTTCGATGTGGTGCCCTTGACCACGTGACTCTGGAGACGCAGTCCCCTCGCGCCTCCTTGAAGCATGTGGTTGCCGTCCCCGCCGGGCTATTCGGTGTTGAGTCGGTTTGCTGGAAAAGGTCAGTCTGCAAGTCTAAAATCCTGTTCGAGAGAAGTTGCATTCTCCCACAATCATTTGAGTAGGCATGGCATCTCCAATACCTTCCACTGAGTCTCGCCTTCCCAAAACGTGTTCTCATCCTGGATGGACTGCAGCTTTGACCTCGCCCTAGTCCTATCAACACCCCCTGCGGGGGTCGAACCATGACAGTGCAGCGTGTAACCTCTTCTCATTAACCCCTCCGCCACATTGCTGCAAGTGACTTTGGGTCACCGGACAGATGGGAATTTTAAGGAGAGCCAGACATTTTCCCATATCAAATTCTCTTTTGACATTGCTATGACTACGCATTGTGGGAAAAGTTAACAGCTAGTCTATCATCATCTTCAACGAAATTGGGTGAACATATTTCGTATTTGATTTCGTTGTAGCCTCGAAAACCTACTTACATACACAAATTATCATATGTTCGCGTAATACTGAGGCTCGTTCTAGCTGCATGGGTGATTAGGTTTTGTTCATGAGTCTTCCTGTTTCTTCTCTCTCTCTCTCTCTCTCTTTCTCTCTCTGATCCTATGCATCAGTCTCTACACTTGCTCTTCTTATTCAGGATGTTCTTTGTTAAGTTGATCTTCTGCTTAACTGTAAAGTCCCCGTATCCGGCAAAACGTTTATTTTCAGCTCATTCTATCCAGCATCCTGTAGCGACCACATGTTCAGCCACCTGCGATTTTTGAATCCATAAACCTTTGCGGACGGTTCCGAGTTCGGATAGCCTTTTGTGTATGGGTCGACAAGTCTCCCCACATAAACGCTACCAGATGAACATAAAATCTTATAACAACCTGATCTGTAGAGAGCGGTCGAAGATCCTCTAAAATAAGGCCTGATCGAGGAAAGCGTTATTGCTTCTTTAAACACTGTCTTGACGCTCCATTTCCTCAATAATTCGTTAATCATTTTTAAAAGCTGGCAGAATGGTATCATTAGGAACGTGGCCAGAGTGTTATCTAATTTCCTGTTTTCTCCTAAATAATATTTTATCTTCCCCACAATCCTTAGTATTTCCAAATTATTAACAATTGAGTAGAGTTTCGAGGCTACCAGTAAACCAGTAATATGAGATGTATTCACCCTATTTCATTTATGGCGATGAACGACTGGTAGTACAATTTCCCACAATGATATCAGTAGAATTAACGTTTCCATCGAATTTCACACAGCTAAAAAGGTGTTTTCATCCAAGATAGCCTGCAGCTTCAATTTCGCCTTGATTTTATCAACACCCCCAAAAATTCTACCGTCAGTCCTTCATCGCCTTAAACGAATAGGGTGAATACATCTCATATATTAACAATTAATCCCAACGGATGCTTGCTCTAAACTAAGATTTTTCTAAGACTTTCAGATAATTTGCATTTGCCAAACGTAAACTCTTTATTATCATTTATTTTATTACTCCTATTCTAACACCATAGGTAGGATTCGAGAAAAAATTAAGAAGGAAATCCTCATTTGTGACTTTCCTACACACATCCCTATCCAGTTTGTTTCATTGGTTAATAACTAGTACATCTACAAATCATATGTTGTCTTCAATCTTCTAAAGATTCTTCGAAACCCAGCTTTTAATCTTAAGTCCATCGTTTTGTTCAGACCTTCCATATCAGCCCTTATATTAATACTCTTCTTTTATTTCTTTTAAACCTTATGCTCTGGCAAAATCTCATGTTGCATCGTACATTTCCCCGGTTTTTGGTTCTTGACAAGTCAATTTTCAATGCCCTTCCGTCTAACTGTTGGCTCGAATCAAAAAATCCAGTGACAGGAAGTTAAAAAAGGCTTTTTTGAGGCCTTGTTTTCTTCATTTCTGTCGAAATGTTCCCAGACTGTATAATCATAGCTTAAATTCATACATTTTTGTGAGCAGCACAGATCTCGGCTCCCTCGAACTGAGGCCTCCTAAACCACAAAATGCCCCAGACGTGAGAAAATATTGGGCTCAGAGACCCGTTGCAGCAGAAGTGCGTTCAAAAGCATTGTTCGTCGCATCGTTTCTTGTAATTGCATTCACAGCTCGTACGCGGAGGTCATTTCGGCATGCAGCAAAAGTGTGAGATTAAGAGTTTCGATATTCATTCACGCCATAAGATTTTGCTATTTGGCTT